TCCTGCCAGGGGTGGTAGCGCACACCTTTAATTTCTGTACTTGAGAGGCAGAGGCAAGGGCAAGCAGATCTCTGAGTTCTAGGCCAGCATGGTTGGTCCACATAGTGAGTTCCAGGCCAACCAGGCCTACTCAAGTAGATCCTGGTCTACCTGCCTCCCCATAATTAAGCATTAATTGCTCCTTAAGTCTGAGCTTTTTCAGACCCGTGTTAACACTCTAATCCACTCATTCCACCGGGAGCCATACAAGGTGCCTTCCCTAAGAACACCCACAAATACCTGGCATTTAGCAGATCCCACTGTATTTTGTTATGTGTGCTTGTTGGAATGTGTGATCCACTGTGCTTAACAGCTTACACACATTCCCCCTCACCTTACCACTTCCTGCAGCGTGGTTAACATTGGTATTTTTCATCTCTTCAGTGTGGGTGTTTGTTTGCCCCCTTTGTCTAAGGGTTTTTCTAGAAAGATAATCTGACTTCTCTAAGTCCCCACAAGCACACAACCAAGGTAGAGCCTTAGTTGCTGTAGTTGGAGTCCTGAGTGCAGAATGAAGGCTGTGCTACCAGGGGTGTGCACAGGTTGCCACAGCCACCGTCTCCTTTCCCTTGTCACAGAAGCCCAGTTTTATTTGGGTTGGCAACATGCTCAGTTAATTTTTCCAGCCTCTCCATATGTACCAGGTGACTCAGTTCTGTGGCATTTCCAGGCAGCTTCAAATGGCTTATAGACCAAATGACTAGAGCATCAGACGCCACCTTGGACAAAGAGGTATTTAATTAATTTATTGGGTTTTCCGTTTTTTTTTTTTTTAATTCCCTTCCTCCCTCCTTTCCCTTTCCCTTCCTCCCCTCCTCTCTTTCTCTTCATTCCTTTCTCTTTCTTTCTTTCATTTTCCCTCCCTCCCTCCCCCTCTCCTTCCCTCCCTTCCTTTCTTTCTTTGGACATGTTCTCACTACATAGCCCTGGCTGGTCTAGGACTTGCTATATAGACGAAGCTAGTGCCAAACCCACAGAGACTCCCCTGGCTCTTCCTCCTGAGTGCTGGGATTAAAGGCTCATGACACCATGTCTGGCTTTTAACTTTTTTATTCTAATTTTATGTGCAAGGGTGTTTTGCCTCTGTGTATATATGTGCTAGTATCACATGCATGCATTATCCACTGAGACCAGAAGAGGGCATCAGCTCTCCTGGAACAAAAGTTGTAAATGCACATGGATCTTGGGAACTGAACCCAGGTCTTCTACAAGAGAAGCCTGTGCCTACCCCTGCTGAGCCATTCCTTCACCCCCAGCCTGACCTCATGGGCTCTTGAGGAAGGACTCCAGGGCTGAAAGTGACAGTGCAGACAAGACTTGGGCTTCTGCCAGCACCATGGGCCATGCTCTGGAAATACCCAGACTTCTTTCTTTCTTGAGACTAGATCTCTCTATGTAACCTTGTGTGACTGTGATTTTACAATCCTCCTGCCTTAGTCTTCCAAGTGCTGAGATTATAGGCATGCACCATCAGGCCCATTTTTTTTTTTTTTTTTTTTTTTTTTTTTTTAATGCTGTGGTAACAGAAACTGTCATGGTGAGCTTTGGGTTATATCCCACCCGTCCCAGGTCATGATTCAGGAGCAGCAGCCAGCATGGGTGATATAAACTGTGTCTTTATTTGAACATCATTCCACCTGCACTGAAGCTCAAATCCAGCAGCAGCAGAAGGGGTCAGGACCAAAAGAAATGGTACCAAATCGGACAATGAACATCAAGGACACATTCAGACAGAACTTACTAATGGGGTGTAGACAACACCAAGCTATCCTACCACACAGCACAGGTCCTTGGAGGGCTGTCAGAGTCCTGGGGGAGGGCTGGCTCTTCCTGCTCACTTGTCAGGAAAACTCCAGTCCCACCCAAAAGCTAGCTCTGAGCCAGGCAAGAACCCACAGAAGCCTCTTACACCAGAAGGAGCCCCGCCCCTCCAAAAAGAGGGTTTCCCCTTTACACACCAGAGGCTGGAGAAGGCTAGTCCCCTCTGTGCTCAAGTGGGACACTTTAAAAGTCCTGGGCTCTTTCCCTAGAGCTCCACCTGCAAGCTCTCATCTTGGCTCTTGCAGGCCCCAGAACGGTGTCAATCTTCCCGCACATCCTCACGCCCTTGGAAAGGCTTTCCTCCATGCTTCGGTCCTGAGGGGAGAGCTCTACTTGTCACAGCCCCAAGGACCGGCCTAACCAAAGCTTTAGGCCAGAGATTGGGCCATCTCAAGGTTATGGCTGCTTTCTCCACTCTCTGCCAGGAGCAAGGAAGTCAGTGATATGAAAAAACACCAGCACCACCTTCCAGTCACAACTGGCTGAGAGCTTTCAGAGACCTAAAGCCAGGAAGCTCTTGGTTGGTGATCAGATACAGAAATGTTGATCTTCTTAGCCTATCCCCTTCCGAAGGCTTGCACCTGCCCACCTGCCCTAACTGCACCATGTCAACGCCAGCAGATCTGCCAGCACCCCACCTGCATTCTCGGATGAAGCATCCATTCTCCCTGTCCGTACTTCTTCTAAATCTTCAAGACCACCATTTGGTCTCCACTACTACCTCTTCTTCCCCCATGCTACCCTGGGCTCCTGCAGACTTCATCCCACCAACCTGAAACTCCATGATGTACCTCAAAATGCTGGGCAGTAGCTGGTTGGCTGGAGGGGGGATGGGAACAATGTTAGACTACTCCCAAAGGAATTAGTTTCCTTCTTCCTCATCATCTGTATTACCCTGCTGCTAACACACCCTGGCCTGCTCTCTCTCTCTCTCTCTCTCTCTCTCTCTTACACACACACACACACACACACACACACACACACACTCACACGCACAATCCCCTCCACAAAGGAACCGTGCAGCTTGGACCACAGACCTCCAGGCACTTGGCCTCCAATTCTAGTCTGCTCACCAAAGCACAGGGGTCCCCTTGGGCAGGGCTGTCCTTAGGGGAACAGACTCTGAGCTCCCCTCCCCAGCATTTCTCCTTCCCTCTCCCCCTGCCCACGCTCTTCTCTCCATCTCGTTGTTCAGTGCAAATTACAACTCCACTGCCCACTTCCTGTACCTCTTCATCCACTGCCCCCTACACCATGGCAGCCCCACTCCAATCCTTCCTTTCTCGCTCCCCCTCACTCCATCACTTGAACTCTCTTCCTCTCTGCAACACTGTCCCTCCCTCATCACGCCTGCCTCCCTTCTCATCTTTACTTCCTGGCCCTGCTCCTCCCCCCCACCCCACCCCCCACCATGTCTCTCTCCCCTCTCCCCTCTGGTTTGACTCTGAGGAACCGCCTCCTGCTCCCTCCTCCTTCACACAAGCCCCCACCCTCCACCCCAGTCCATTCCCAGTACCTTGGCCGCCTGCCAAGGAAGACAGCTCCAATGCTGTGGCTCCAGGAAGGGACTAGTGTGGGGACACAAGGGCAGTGACCAAATCTTGGGAGGGGGTATCTGTCCTGGAGGAAAGAGGGGAAAGGCAGAGATGGGGTCTGGAAAATTGCAGGAATCCTTCCTGGAACCAGCATCAGACTCCAATTAAGGTCCTGATGGGGCAGCCTTGGGCATGGGTCTTGCTCAGGGATCCTCTCAGCTCCAAGGCCTATGAAAATGAACACAAGGACAGCAAATCTGTGGACTAGTCACCCTTCCAACTCTGGCTGAGGCCCACAGGGGACACACAGAACTGATATGCCTCCTGTGAAGCCTAAAAGGGGCACACACTCCTCAACACAGGGACCAGGCAGCAGGCCATATCCTAGGAAACATTGTACTAGATGAAGCTAGTCTGCCATCCCTCCACTGGGGACAGAAGGCTTGTCCATGACTAGAAGGCTCTGCCACCAGATAAGGTATAAGGTAACCAAGGTTGGTCAAAAAAAAAAAAAAAAAAAAAAAAAAAAACCACCTGGGATCTCCCTCATTTTCTCTCTGCTAAGGGGGAGGGAGTAACCCCCTGCTGGGAGAAGAAGAGAGATCTTCTCATCTGCCCCTCCCTAACACGCGCACACACACGCACATGCACACACACGCACACACATGCGCACGCGCACGCACGCGCACACACACACACGCACACACACACACCTCAGCTCCAAGCACTGCCCATAAGGTTGCAGACCTTGGGCGTATCGCAAGGCGAGAAGTGGGCGAGGAGAAGAAAGAGTCAGGGACAGGGTAACAGGGCCTGGGGTGGGGACAGGGGTACCCTGTTCAGAGGTGGCCTGCAAGTTCAAGTTAGGCAGAAAAGTATCAAAGACGCAAGACAGTCTCTGCCCTTGGCAGATGTCCGAGGTGTGGGAAGTGGAGAAGGAGATAGGCATCCCCTAACTCCACCTCTGAGCCCCTTCTCCACAGTCACCAACCCTGACAATGGGCCCAAGAAGTCTATGCTGTACAAAACAGGCCAGAGTCAAGGGTCCAGTCACTGGTGCGTTATCCCGGTAGAGAAGAGGCCGGGCCAGCCCCAGGCTGAGAAGCTGGCAAACTCTGGCTGCTGCAGTCAGCTGCCTCCTCCCACAGCCTCCAGAGCCTGTGTCTTCCCCTCAGACTCGGTGCTGATGAGGGACTACCAGCAGTGGGGAGGAAGACCCTGTCCTTTCCCCCTCAGCGCGGCTCAGATTCCTTTGAGAACTGGGTGCAGGCTTGAATGAGGGAGTCAGAAGAGGCCCCGTGGGTGGGGCTGGTGGCACCTGGAGCTTTGTGGCAGATGTGGTGGGACCATCATCAGCAAATAAAAAGAAAGTAGGAAAAAGTCTGGCCCTCCTGGGGCAGGGTCTCTTTAGGAGACCAGGACTGGGAGGCAAGAACACAGCAGGCAGCCTTCTAGACTGAAGGGGTCTGAGGAGCCTGCACTGCAAAGCTCCTTCCCCTGGGGACCCTCAGGGACCTCCAGCTAGTCTACACAGGAGAGAAGGAAACTGAAGGACCAGAGAGGGAGACCCAGGCCCCCTTAGGTCAAATGGAGGCAGGGCCACAAACAAGCTCTCGAGGGATCTCAGGGCCCCTGCCTTCTGCCAGGCTGCCACCCAGCTCCCGCCTCTCTTCAAAGCCTGGAGTTGTGTGCAGTCTGTCAGAGATTGGGGTCTGGAGCTTGACCACAAGAAGGAGAGGGCAGCAGACAGAATATGCTGAGGTCGGGCCAACTCCTGGGCTACAATCCTGGCTTTCAAGGTCCCTGTGTATGAGCAACAGGGCATGGCAGGACTCCCCATCCTGAGACATCTCCTCCTGGCCGCAACACAGAACTTACTGTAGTACCCACAAAATCTAAGGAAGAGAGGGAGGGAGGGAGAGAGAGAGAGAGAATGTTAGAGACTGTCACAGCTGCCCCCTCAGCCACCCCCCAAGACAGTAGTGGGCAGGAAATGACTACAACCAAGTTGTTGGCTGGCAGGCCAGCCTTGAACACACCATTCAGCCTTCTAATTCACAGGGTCACTTTGAAGGGTCAAAGGAGATGCAAGCACTTGGCACATAGCAAATGGTAGTGGCTTCGTTTTGTTTTTACTTTGGCTCAGAATTGAACTATAAAGTTCACCTTTACCCACAAGTGAAGGATGGAGATTGTTTGACATTGAAGGAAGCATATTACTTTCCATAACATTGGGGGGGGGGGAGTTTTAAAGACAGGGTCTTTTATAGCTCACACTGCCTTTGAGCTTACAAGGTAGCAGAGGCTAGCCTTGACTTCCTGATTCTCCTGCCTCTGCCTCCAGATTATGGAGATTACAGGTGTACACCACCATGATTGGCTTCCCATGTTTAAGATGAGTTGTAGTGGCTTGCCACAGGTTTGGGGACAGTGAGTTCTAGGGTATTCTAGTCTACCCTGCAAGGCCATGTCTTTAAAGTAAATGAACTTGTGAGAGAATCATCTGGAGTCAGGAGAGAGACACTGGGTGGACCATTCACTGCTGGTTATATCCATCCATACCCAGGGAGCTTCAGAGAGGCAACAAACAGGCTTGTTCTTGCCCTTTTGGAAATGGCCACCAGGGGGGCAGGTTCTGACCTCAAACCAAGACTGAAGAACCGACCCATTGGGAGGGATCTGTTGGAGTTTTAAAGGTCAGATTAGCAGAGTGTCCTACGGTAATGAAAAGGGGACAGGAAAGTCCTGGCCTGGCTGGGCTGAGACAGGTCGTGTAAGTGTGGGGGAAGAGCTTTGGCTCTGGACTTGAACCTTCATTCAGGTCCTGACTGCATTTAGAGGGCTTTGGGTACGCTCCCCAGCTCTCTGCGCCCATCCACGGGACTTGTATTCTCATCTGTAAAACAGTGGTGGTAATGCCTGCCTGCAGAGGCCTGTGAGAGCTGATGACTTTGAGCCAAGTGCCAGCTCCTGCTGGCCACTTTGCAGGCACAAACTTTCCCCTCACATGACAGTTCTGGGAGTCGGATCTGTTCTTATCACCCTGTGCATGAAGTGTGGGAAACTGAAACTCGAGGTAATTTCTAGGCTTAGCCTGCTCCCATTACAATCTGTGTTTACCAGCCAAGAATCCAAGCACAACAATGGGTTCCTGCCAGATGAGTCGATACACGGTTATATGCATTGCCTCATTTAATCCCATTGTATGGTGAGCCAAAACTCCAAGAAAACACTAATGAGTGGAAAACCTCAACATAGGTCTGACTGTGGAAACTACTACTGTGGATCTCAGTCTAAGGACTGTGTGCCCATACACACACACACACACACACACACACACACACACACTGTCACATCTCTCTAGCACTAGGGATAGGCAAACACCAGGTCAGAAGACCCTGCTTGGCTTCAGCCCTTGATTATCTGGCACTGTCATTATATTTCACGTCTGGAAACCCCAAGAAGACACTTACACCTGTGTGTGTGGCTCAGGATGGCCTTGAACTCATGATCCTCCTACTCCAGCCTCAAGAGAACCATTGAGTTTTGCTTGTATGTACAGCTGTGTGAACATGCCAGATGCCCTGGAGTTACAGACAGTTGTGAACTATCATGTGAGTGCCGGGAATTGAACCTGGGTCCTTTGGAAGAACAGCCAGCCACTGAGCCATCTTAACCACTGAGCCATCTCTCCAGCCCATTTCTTTTTTCTTTTTTCTTTTTTCTTTTTTCTTTTTTCTTTTTTTAATTGAATGAATTTTATTATTTATGTTTGTGTGTGAAAGTGAGGGCGTGTGGAGGTCAGAGTGCAGTTCTGGACATCAAACTTAGGTCATGAGTCTTCAAAGCAGTCCATCTCAATGGCCCTAAATTGTTTCTTTATTGTAGTTTACTGTCATTGATATAGACAATATGGAATATACCAATTATGCAGCATAGTGTAATAATTTGTGAATGAACACTAGTTCATGTCAAAACTGTAGCTGTTGTAATTTGCATATATTACAAGCTCTGATCTCATGTCCAGATTCCTCCCCTTCAGACCCAATCCAATAACCACCCCTACATTATGTATTTATCATTCCTTTTTAAAGGTTATTGTTAGTTTTGTATTTATGTGCATGCATGTGTTAGTGTAAGCCACATGTGTTCAAACAAATAACCACGTCAGCCAGAAGGGAGCTTTGGCTCCTCAGGGGATGGAGTCACAAGCAGTTATAAGCTGCCCAACATGGCTGCTGGGAAACAAACTCAAGAGCTCTGTAAGAACTTCAAGGGCTTTTAACCACTTCCTTTGTTTTTAATAAATAAATTTATTATAATCTGAATATATTGTTTTATACATTATTAAATATATCACAAATGCATTGTATTATACAAATATAAAATATATCATAAATATTAAATGTTAATGAATTATTAAATATTGTATACAATACTTAATATTTCATTTGTTTAATAATACATTATTTTAAATAATATATTTTAATACTAAATAATAACTTAAATATATATTAAACCTGGTGTGTTGGTACAAGCCTGTAACCTGAACACTTGAAGATTACAGTCAGGAATAATAAAGTTATCTTAGTTATATACTGAGTGGAAGGCCAGCTTGAACTATGTGTGATGCTGTCTCTATCTAAACAACAACAAAAACCACGTTGGGAATGGTGGCCCACACCTGCAATCCAAGTACTTAGGAGACTGAGGCAGGAGGAGCTGTTAGTTTCAAGTCAGCCTGGTATAGAGTTAGACCCTATCTCCATTTTTAAATTTCGTTTAAGCTATACATTCCTTAGTTTTGCTTGGTTTAGGGCTTAATAAACACCATGCTCTGTCACTTCTGAGCTTTTTCCCTCTGTGTTTTCAGCCACCTCTATTCCCTGACTCCACAGCTGTGAGTGTGTGGGGGGTATGTATAAGCTAGAGGACAATTTTCCAGATTCTCCTCCCCCCATGTGGGTTCTCTTCCTGGGGATCAAACTCAGGTCATTAAGCTTGGTAGCAAGTGCCTGTTGAGCCATCTTAATGGCTCCTCTGTGTACCCTTTTAAATCGTTTCAATTTTTTTTAAGTGTATTAGTGTTTTTGCTTGAGTATGTGCACCATGTGTGCAGTGCCAGAGGAGGCCAGAAGAGGGCATTGGATGCCCTGGAACTGGAGTTAAAGACGATTATGTGGCCTCATGTGGGTGGGAATCAGCCCAGCTCCTCTGGAAGAGCAGCCAATGCTCTTAACAGCCAAGCCGTCTCTCCAGCTCCCTGGGTGTAATTTTTGCTTCGCTTTTAGAATTCTGTGTACATTGACCTGCCACTACACCAACCAGGCCTTCCTTGTCCTCAGGCATAGGCGCTTACCTTTGTTCTCCTGTTTGAGCTCCTCCTGCAGCAGGTCGGTCTGCCGGTTGCCCAGCACGAAGGCAAGGAAAGACAGGATGAGCGCATTGAGGATTCCGATGATGGCCAGAATGTACGCCCAGCGCACTGAACAGTCCCCCAGGGAGTACTTCCCCGTCTTGGCCCCGCACATGTCCCGGATAGTCTCGGCATCCCAGCCATCAGGGAAGATCATGCAGCCCAAGACGAGGCACAGGGCTGGGCATGGAGCGGGCCCACACCGAAGTCGGGTCAGGAAGAAAGAGAAGGAAGGCATTATTACTCCCTAGAATGGAGGAGGGGGGTGGGGCTGAGTCCTGAGAATTCCCCCAGCCCCATCTAGCAATCTGAACCCTTGGTAACTACTTTTTAATCATTGGGAGATAGACATTGACCTGAAGAAACAGAAACTGCGGCCCTCGACCCCTCCTGCCTTACCCAGCCTTACTACAACCACTGACATCCTCTGGTTCCTTTTATTGTCACCCAACCTCATCACTTTAGTTTTTAAGATTTTGGCTTTGGTTTGGCTTTTTTTTTTTTTTTTTTTTTTTTTTTTGTTATTTCTTCAACAGTGGTTCATTGACAATCACTTTGCATTCGTTCAAAGATGCTAGGCACACAGCAAAGAGTGACAGTGAGTCTTCCATAGTTTCTCTCCCTCCAGCTGTGACTGGGAGGTGTGAGGTACCTGGCTAGTTCCTTCTGTAGAATGAGGACCATGGTGCTTTCGAGACATTTAGCGAGATGCCAACCAGGCCATTCATTGCGGAGGGCCTACTGTGTGCTGGGAACTAGAGCAGAGCTCAGGGAGGCACTTGGATCTGTGTCTCTTGGAGCTTGGGTAGGAGAGAAGAGGGCTGCAGTACAGTGTTAAGAACTCAAATGCTGGCCCAACTCTGCAAGATTTGTGAGCACCAATTCCTTTATCTTGTGCTTATTTCCAAATCTGTAAAATGGGGGGTGGTTAAGAGTATCATCAAATGACTGTAAAGATGGCAGGGAGCTTCAAAGTGCTCTGCAAAGTAACTCCCATAGAATGTTAGCAGTTGATATCAAAATTAGTCATAACAAACACTGGCTGCTCTTGCAGAGCATCTGGGTTCATCTCCCAGCACCGACTTGGCAGTTAGCAAGTCTATTACATGGATTCCAGGAGATCTGACACCCTCTTCTGGCCTCTGTAGGAACTGCACACATGTGGTGCACATAATATACGTGCAGGCAAAACATTCATACACATAAAATAAAATAACTCAGGGCCATCGTTAGCTACACAGTTACAAAATCAGTTTGGCCAACATGACACCATCTCAAAAACAAAACAAAACACAAACCCTAGTCACTGCAAAAAAATAAATACACAAATAAGGAAATAATGTAATAGGTTTCAGGTGAGGTGAGACAGATAAAAGCAGAAAGGGTGGGTCAAGATGGTCCTGTTAAATAGCTCTCCAATCCACCCACTTGGGTTAATCTACCAAGCTCTCTCCAATCACCAGCCTAGTCTGGGAGGGGTGGGGCAAGTCGAACCAATCATCTCCCTGAATTCCTTTGGAATTCCTTAGGTTGACTATGAGAGTGGCACAGGCCCCATAGCAGGCCAATCAGAGGCTTCAAGCTCAGTGGGCAACTGGGAAGACTTGGTCTGCTCATTTCCACCAGGGGTCTGCAGCTTGCACAGAGCTTGTGTGACCCTTGACTCCTCCAGGCCCAATATTAGATGACAAGGTATGGCTGTTCTCAGTTCTGTCACAATATGTGGTCCATCCAGTCCCCACAGTGGGAGGGACAAGAGCTTTGAGAGTCCTTCCCATTACAAGGGAGCGCCTCCTAAGCTCCAGGCCCCTCCCTCCCCAGAGTTCTGTAACTTGGATTCCATCCCACAGCCATCTCCATGTCTGAGGTAATGTCCCCAACAACATGGTCATCAATCTCTCATTGTACTAGAGCTGCCTTCACTCTCCAAGACAGTAACCCCTCCTCCCACCTCTATGGACATAAGAGAAATGTCCTGCTCTGTGACAGAACCAAGCCAGGAAAGCTAGAGAATCAAACAGTCTGAAGATACAGTTTGGCACACAGATAGAGACTCAAGTACAGACTGGGGTTGGGGGTGGGGCAGGCAATGGGAGCTGGAGCTTAACCATGAAGGCTTCAGCCCCCCCCCCATGGCATTCAAATTCTAGTGTTAGATATTGTCGAAACCAAAACGTAGGCATGGGACTAAGCCCTTGGGTGCTCTATCATTGATATGGAGGGAGGAGGATAAGAGGAGGAAAAAGAGAAGGAAGAAGGGGAGGAGACTTTAATGTCTGTCTTCCTACATGCCCTTGATTTGTCTCTCCATCCTTGGGCTCAGCCACTCCAGCAAAAGGCAGGGGTGCGGTTAGAAACTGGCAGGGGACAAACGTACACACCATCCCTTCAGCTGCTTCCCAGCCCTCCTCTCCCTAGGTGCCAGAGTGGCTGGCCTCACTGTAGTCTGTTTTTGCTTGCTCCTGGTGCATCCTCGTCTCCATGGAAACCGCTCCTGTATCCCAGGGCTCCAGCTTCCTCCCCCTTCCCAACGCGGGCACTGAGACCTCACTGAGATTTTCTTCCCTATGCTTTCCAGTTCCTCTCTCTCTCTCTCTCTCTCTCTCTCTCTCTCTCTCTCCCTTCCCCCTCTCTCTGTTTCTCTCCCTCTCTCCCTCTCTGTCTCTGTCTCACACACACTTCTCTCTCATTTCTCTCAGCCAGTCCCTCTAATTCCCTCTTTTCTTCTGCCTTTGTCTCCATCTTTTCCTTCCCTTTCTCCCCCATTCCTCCCTATTGTGCTCAAGTCTGAGCTTCAACTCTCCTTTCCTTCTTTTAGTTAACATTTGACCTTTCTATTTCTTCTTTTTTCTTCTATCTCATTCCCTCACCCTTCTCTCTCTCCCTCTACCTCTCTCTGTCCTTTCTCTCCTTTTGAATACTTCACAAATACATTTCTGAGATCCTTGACCACACACCAGGCCCACAGCAGCACTAGGTCATAGACACTGGCAGGCATGATGTCTGTCTTCATCATGAAGGGAAGTATAACATCAGCTCATCTCACTGATTGTCATATATGTGAAGGGCTGTCTCAAAGGAAACAGACTGGGAGCAGAGGTCAGAGCATCAGGAGCAACAGGAGGATGCTGAGACAACCTCCCTGCCTCCTTGGCTCGGGAGAGCATCAGATGGTGGCTTTGAGGCCTCAGAGGCTTCTCAAGAAATGGGAGAGAACAAGAAGTTAAACCACTTGAAAAAGCCCAGGCTGAGGGGCTGGAGAGATGGCTCAGAAGTTAAGAGCACTGGCTGCTCTTCCAGAGGTTCTGAGTTCAATTCCCAGCAACCATATGGTGGTTCACAACCATTTATAATGAGATCTGATTGCAGGCATACATGCAGGCAGAACATTGTATACATAATAAATAAATCTTTTGAGAGAGAGAGAGAGAGAGAGAGAGAGAGAGAGAGAGAGAGAGAGAGAGAGAGAGAGAGAGAGAGGCCAGGCTGAGATGGGTTTTCTTGAGTCTGGAGGAAGAGAAGTGACTGGAATAGGTTAGCCTCACCCAAGGCTCTCAACCTTCTGGGGATGGCATGGCAGAGACAATGCAGGCGTACCCACCTGTGGGATGAAGGTGAGACCGTGGTCTCTTCTGGAAGTCAGGAGCTGGCTGAAATGCCAGCTCCTCAGAGTCTGATAACCAAGTGCAGGATACAGCATGCTATAAGAGTTCTCGACCTGGGCTTGTCCCCAGGGGCAGGGCAGAGTGTACCGCAAGAGTTCTCTACCTTCAGCCTAGAAACTTCATGGCAGGGACTGCCCTGTCCACCCTGGATGCTTAGCTTCATCCCTGGCTTCCACCCACCAGACCTTAGGGAAAAATACATACTGTTGTTTTAAAAATCCCTCCAAACATTGGCCAGCATCCCGAGAGCAATGATTGCTTACTGAAAACCACTGGTGTAGAGATGGGGGTCCTGGGATACAGTACTCCCATTCATTGACCCTACAGTCTACTGGAATCTTGTGCTGCAGGCAGCCAGGAGGCATTATGACAAATTAAGATTGAGAATATCTGCATGGAGGATAGCTCAATGGTAAAGTGCTTGCAAAAGGCCCTGAGTTCAGTGCTCAGTACTGTAACAACAATAACAACAACAGTAATAAATAGTAATAATGAGCTGTTTTTAACAGTAGCAATTGAATATTGGTATGAGGGCCCACACTTATAATCCCAGTACTGGGGACAATGAGGGAGGGTTATGAATATGAGGCTAGCCTAGATGACATAGCAAGACCTGTGTCCAAAGGTAAATAAATAGCAGTGAGCATTTAACTATATGCTAAAGTTGCTAAACTCCTATATTTTCCAACCTCTCATTTAATCCTATAAAAAAAAATGAAGGGGCTTCGAGATGGTTCCACAGGTAAAGGCACTTACTGTGCGTGCCTGATGACCTAAGATTGATCCCCAGAACCCAAGACAGAAGAGGAAGCTCGGTGGTGGCGCACGCCTTTAGTCTCAGCACTCGGGAGGCAGAGGCAGGTGGATCTCTATAAGTTCAAGATCATCCTGGCCTACAGAGTGAGCTCCAGGACAGGCTCTAACGCTACAGAGGAACCCTGTCTCATAAAACAAAACAACAACGAAGAAAAGAAGAAGGAGGTGGAGAAGGAGAAGAAAAGAAGAAGAAACTGACTCCACAAAGTTGCTCTCTGACCTGCAAAGTCTGTGACATGTGTGTCCACATGTACACATCGTGGGTGCACACGATAATAGTTTTTTTTTTTTTTTTAATCTATGAGGTCAACAAAAACATCACCCTCACTTAGAGGTAAGGGAACTAAGGCTGGGAGGAACTCAGTCTCTTCTTGAATGACACACAGCTGGGAAGCCTGCATTCAGGCCCAGATAGGGACTTCATGCTTATCTTTGGACAGACTCATTTAAAATTATTATTTTTGTTTATTTGTTTTTTCTCTGTGTAGCACTGGCTGTCCTGGAGCTTGCTATGTAGTCCAGGCTGGTCTCGAACTCATAGAGATCCACCTGCCTCTGCCTCCCAAGTGCACTTTAATCTTTTAATTAATTATTTTAATGTAAATGTATGTTTTGCCTACATGTATGTATGTGCACCATTCTATGCAATATCCTTAGAGGTCAGAAGAGGCCATTAGATTCCCTGGAACTGGAATTACA